GATGTGTTGCTCAATGTTTACGCCCCTAATGTGCGGCCGGACCGTGAATCGTTTTTTCGTAGTCTATCCGCTTGGGATTTACGCGACCACCCGACCGTCCTTGTCGGTGACTTTAATTGCGTGCTCAGCCCAGCGGTCGATCGGTACGGTCAGCACCGTTCCTATCGGTCGGAAAGCCCAGCGCTAGATGCTCTACTTTCCTCCGCCGAGTTGTCTGATGCGAGGGTGCTTCGGGACCATGCGGATGATGACGCCGCCGATGACTTTGATGATCATTTTACCTATTGGGAAGGAGGTCACGCCAGTCGTATCGACCGCTTTTACGTCCCCGACCATTGGGTTGATCGGGTCCAGTGGGTGTCCACCTCCCCACCCCCGCTACCGTCCGATCATCAGCAGGTGGTGCTTCACCTGCGAGCCTCGGAGCGTCCGCTTCACCCGCGACCTTGTCGCCGGGTCACTTATCCCATTCAAACCCCGCATCCTGAACAGGTTCTTGCGGAGTTGATCCAGGACATGGATCGTTTGGCGGTTGGACAAGGGGCATCGACGGTATCATGGGATGCTGGTTTAGCTATCTGCATCCAGTGTATTCACAGGGTTCGAAAGCGGGATAAACAGAGACGTGCCAGGCTGCGTCGCAAGTGCCTGTACCGCAGCACCTGTAATCTAACGTCGCGGCAGCAGTGGATTGAGCATAACGTGGAGGAATTCCGTCGCGAACATCTCGTACTGCTCGGGCAGCGCCTCGAGCGGTCCTCGGATCTGTTACGATGGACATTCCAACGGGTGTCTAATTGGGAGCGCGACCAGTGCGTCACGAACATATTTCAGCTCCACGGTCCTTCCTTTGTCGGGAACCTGTCAATTGCTGATAAATTTGCGTCCGAGTGGTCGTCCGTCCTGGGAATCAGTCACCGTACGACGTCTCTCAGAGATCTGCCCTCGGCCATCAGACGGTTCGTGCGCGTCCCCAGCGCCCGGAAGCTGTCTGGTGCTGATAATATGGCTCTTTTTTCCTGTGTAACGGAAGCGGAGGTTCTGACGGCTGTCACCAGTCTCAGTCGCCATAAGGCAGCGGGGCCGGATGGTCTCAACAATGACTTCTACAAAGATACACCTGCTCTCCTCGTTCCAGCTCTTGTAGCCATCAGCAACCAAATTTTGGAAGGCGCCGACCCACCGCCCTCCTTTCTCGAGGCCCTAATTATCCCCTTACGGAAGAAGGGGAATTCGACAGATGCCATGGACTATCGGCCTATTTCCCTACTGCAAACAAGCTACAAGATCTTTGCCAAGGTTCTGGCCACGCGCTTGCAGCGCGTTCTACCGCAACTTATTGGGCAGTCGCAGCAAGGTTTTGTTCACGGCAGGCAGATGATGAAGCTCGTGATGATGATGTTGGCTCAAATAGCCACGGCTCGGCACGATGAGACTCGCACGGCTCTCCATAGCCGTGCCATCCTTTTACTCGACTTTCGCAAGGCTTACGATACGGTCGATCGAGACTTTTTGTATGAGGCGCTACGCAGCTTTGGTTTCGACGAACGTTATATTCAGCTTATTAATCGGCTGCATGCAGGGACGACGGCATCGTTTCTCGTCAATGGTGAGCTTTCCAAGCCTATCCCCGTGGTATCAGGCATTCGACAAGGGTGCCCACTCGCCCCTCTTCTTTTTCTATTGGCGGTCGAGCTCTTGGGGCTGGCCATTCACCAATCTCCTGACCTGAGCGGTCTTCCGGTCCCAGGCGACGGGACAGGTTCTCATACCTTTTCCGCCTTTGTTGATGACTCGACCATATTTCTCGAGGCAGCACGACAGTTGCCGGCGGCGCTCCAGCTCGTGCAACAGTTTGGCGCTCTGTCCGGATTGCATGCGCAACCGGCTAAGAGCAAACTGATTTTCTTAAACCGCGCGATTCGATTAGTTGATTTCCACGGCATCTCGGTCCTTCAAGCGGGTGAGACCACGCGGTACTTGGGGTACGAGATTGGGACGGGTGATCTCCAACATCGCAATTGGGCGCTCCGAATTCGCCGGCTGCAGCGGCGTCTGCTCACGGCTTCACAAATATCGACCAGTGTTGCTTCTCGAGTACTCATTCTAAACGCCGTCATCTTACCGTCGATCCTGTTCACGGCGGCCGTTTTTGAGATCCCGTCATGGGCCAGCAAAGACATTCAAAATCTCTACAAACAATTTTTGTGGGACCATTCGACCTCGACGGACGCGCGCCGTCATAAAATCAACCCTGGTTTGCTGTACACGCCGAAGAAAGCCGGTGGGGTTGGTCTAGCCTCGGTGGAGGTGGCCATCAAAACGCAACGGACCAAACACGCGCTGCGCTGGCTCACCCAATCGCACGACAAGTATTTTAATGCTTGGAGGTCCTGGGCGTACCAAGGCGGATCTACCGGTTCGGGTATGGTCATGCATACATGGCTGCGTAGCCGGGAACGGCCTTTACGCATCAGCAGGTCTTCGCTGGCTTTCGTGGCTAAAGATCTAGACTTGCTTCTTGAGCCGTCGGCGGCGCACGCTGGTCAACGACGGGATCGGACATCGTCTTTTCTTGATTCTCTCGTACTACAAGCGGTAAGTCGATGGATAGGGCGTGGCTGGGAACTACACTTTTCCACTACGTTACCTGACGAAGTCCCTCCTCCGGAGGGTTCTGATTATCAACTACGCGCGGTGCGTCAATTTTGGGGGACGTTTGGCTGGTCCGGCAATCCGTGGATCCGGGATGCTAAAGGTGTGAAGTTGTTGCACTCGAAGTTCAATCAAATAGCCGCCTGCTCTATCGCTGACCTGCACATTTGGAGGACGGGCCCGACCACCTATGTTTTCACCATCCCGCCCTCGCGGTCAGAGGGAGTCACGTATTCCCAGCCGAAGCTTCGCCGGTGGGCGACAGCAATTTTATTGGCGTCTCCGTTATGTACGGTCGGGTCAGAATTGGGCGTGGCGGCAGCATTATCTCTTCGGCATCCCCCCCCATTTCGTTATGAATATGACTGGGTCACTGTGAGTCGGGGTTGCGTCGTGGGAGCTCGCAGGAATTCACTAGAGGAGAGAGACGGAAGGGTGCAGTTACGCCAGGGCTCCGATGGGCTGCATTGGTTGTTTCAAGACGGCCTACCCGAGCTCCACACGGCGTCGGACGGTGACAGCCAGCGATGGGCTACGCACATCCGGCAGCACGGCGTGGTCTTTTATGCTCACCCAAGTCACCACCACTTTGCGTGGGGAGTACCCGAAACGGTTCCTAATGGAGCTCTCCGTCAGGCTATTTTGCACCGGGCTTTCTCGCTGCACAAACACCGACTAACTCGGCCTTTACTACCCTTATTGGAGCGGCTGGATGCAGTCTATCGAGAGGATTCGTGGCTAAGGGCGGCGGCGCATCAGCAACCATCCCAACTTTGGAAACATGATAACGGACTCTCCGACTATCAAGTTTGGACGGCGTATCGAGTCGCCACCAAGCAGCTAAATTTTCATCATGCCGGGCGGGCTGCCGACCCCAGCTGCCGGGCCCTGCCTACGTGTCACGGGGTGCCCGAAACGTCGAGGCACGTCTTTTGGGATTGTCAGAAGGCGCGGGCGTGCTGGGCTAAGTTCATCAGCCATTGGATCGGCGCTTCTGTGTCGAGTGCGGTAGTCCATAGTTGTCTCAGCAACTGTGCGAATCGACAGGCTCCGGCGATCCCGGCGTTTCAGCGGTCTCGGTTGCTCGAGCGGTTTCACGATGATGCGAGAGAGAGAGAGAGAGAGAGATTCATGACTGTCTATTGCACATGATGGTTACGCGCTAGAAGTCTGAAATCTTCTAAGCCTAGAATACAGCGCCGGTCGCGGCGGTGGATCAAGGCACCTCTCTAGTGGTAGCGAAACTCCGCTAGCCTCAAGAGTAAAAAGTTCAAGGGAGGCATGTAAACGAGCCCCTCGAAGAACTGTCGACGCCCCTCTATGCTCAGGTTTCACGATGATGCCGCAGCGGGGGAAAAGGTGTGGCGACGGATTTGGTTTTTAATGTGTTCCGTTTGCATTACGCATTTATGGAGCGAGCGCAACGATGCCGTGTTCAGAGGCGTGCAGTCTACGACGGCTCAAAGTGTCGTCCATTTCTGGACAACCGGCGTCCGTCAATTAACGGCCTTGGCTATGCGTGAGCATAGAGGGGCGTCGACAGTTCTTCGAGGGGCTCGTTTACATGCCTCCCTTGAACTTTTTACTCTTGAGGCTAGCGGAGTTTCGCTACCACTAGAGAGGTGCCTTGATCCACCGCCGCGACCGGCGCTGTATTCTAGGCTTAGAAGATTTCAGACTTCTAGCGCGTAACCATCATGTGCAATAGACAGTCATGAATCTCTCTCTCTCTCGCCTCTTAGTTGCCGACTCGATAGAGCTCCGCGAGACGCGAACCTGCCAGCCACTCGAGGCACTGGCGATCAGCTAACACGATGCTACATAGCCATCCATCATCATGACGCTTGTGATGCAAGTAGCAGGCAAGACAGGCTGAGCAGTATCCGCACGAGCCGACTCACATGAGCGTAGCTCAATGATAAACGGCTTAGCTTTGGCGCATCCTTGTCGAGTACGTACAACTTGTACCTGAGTCGACCACACTTTACTCTAGTCAGGTACCTCAACCTGTCAGTGTCAGACTGATTTGTACATCGTTGAGATGCAAAACTGCCACCTGGTCGGGAAATCGGTGCGAGCGTCAGGCCGAGCAGCTCGGGGCCCTATTTGACGAGGACGGACCTACCGCGATCGCATCAGCTATGATCCGATAGCGAGATGCGGGCGGTTCTGTCTGACCTCTGCGCCAGCTGGTGTGGAGTGGGTTGTTTGATGGTGAGCAGTCTTTGCAACGCCTCCTTCGATCAGCTCTTCGGTGTCGCCGGATGTGCCGATGCATTCAACCCACTCTTTGTTGAGCGCTCGATTGCTCAGGTCCCAGTCCGAGACTTCTTCGGCATTCGGTCATGCGATCCGTCTATCTCTTTGCGCCCTTATTGAGCAGCGCACTGCTTGCCACTGCCGATCTAGCCCCGGGCCTCGGAGCGTCCGAGGTCGCGGCGCCTGGCGCTGATGCAGTCGAGTACGAGGCTGCCGAGGACAAACTGCTGAGGACGCCTTCTACCAACGATGGCAAACTGCACGAAGATCGGGCGTATCCCACTGAGGGTGTCGTGGGCGAGCTGGTAAGTCGATTCAGGTCCACGATTGAGGCCATCGCCACGTACCTGTACAAGGCAAGCACGGCCGACGTTCGCAGCACCCTGTATGACTACTTCACGAAGGACCCCAATGTGCGCACGTGGGAACGCGTGGTCGAAAAGATGGCTAAAGCGTACATCGACGGCACATTATACACGCCTGCTAGCGGGGTGCGTCTGGGCGCAACGCAATGGCTGCACGAAAGTCCAGGCTTTCGGAATGTGCGACCCGCGCTCAAGAAAATGCATAAGCTTCACCTGCTGCGTCTGGGGCAAGATCGTTTAGAATGGAAGTATGACATGGAGTATGCTGCGGAATCTATCTATAAGATGCAGCACAGTCACGATCCGGACGAGAAGAAGGCCGGATACTGGCTCAAAAGGGTGCTATTCACCTCTTTGATCCTGGAAAAAGTCAACCCTGAAGATGTTGTAGCGGCACTTCTTCGTACGGGTAAGCTACGGCCCGACTCAGAGATCCTGAAGGACATGGTAGTCTCGTACATCGAGGACATCCATCGCATACGGGCGCTTCTTCCAAAGTAACTCATTTGTCCAGATGTGTCAGCCGCTGCAGGGACTTGAGCCAATTTGTTGAACAATGCTGGACAGTTAAACGCAAGAAAGTAGTCGGGCTGCCCCTTAAATATAACGTCATGTCTAGTCCTACTTTGTCCTGTCAACGGGTGAACGAACTCCATGACGTTGGCACGTGGGTGTTACCGTGGCGATAGAATTGAGAAAAAAAGTGTCTTAGTCGGTGGCTTTCAGCAGCAGTCGACGACACTCTGCTCGTTAGCTGACGCAGGCCATGACATATCGTGCCACGAGCTCATCTGTGAAGCAGGGACGTGCGCAATGAGTAGTGAGCAAATAGTCAACTACGTACTATACATTCGCAGTCAAAGATAGCGGTCGACTATTTGCTCGCTATTCGAGAAAGTTTTGGAACGATCTATGTTTAGAAGACTTGTAGCATGCGAAACGCACCTGCTACTTTCGATTAAAATGAACGCTCTTGTTTAGTACGCTCCGCTTCTTCTTCTTACTTGACAAAAAGTGTGCGTTAGGTTTCATACCCGCACGTGGTCTCTGCAGTTAGCTACAAGTACCTGTGCCTTACTTGCCCTGTCATCAGTGTAGGTAGAAAGAGCCGCATCACAGTTCGCTTACTCCCGCTATCGACCCCCTCGATGCACTACCCATCGTGAAAAATAACACGGCCGAGCCAATGTGGACGTCAGATTTGATGCTGTTCAGGTGTCTTCAGCTTGAAAGTAAAGATGTCATGGGACTTCCACATGACGATGGACCCAAACCGCGACTTTGGGTCTGCTTCAATGAGCAATGGAAGTCAGCGACGATCTGACAAGACGCCTAACGCTGTAATTGGATGTATGTGCCATCTCTTCGTCACTCGCTTGGGGTTTCCGACGGATCGGACTTCTTTTCGATTCTTCCAGTGTGTTACTGATACGAACATTGAAATATACGCGACACAGCGTTTTGAACGATAAGGAGCTGCCGGACGGCCACGTAACGAGTACCCGCGCGCTCTTTTTCGTCCGTGAAGCGTACAGCATCTCGGAAGATAGCGACTTAATGCGCTGGTTGTTGACCACGCAAGTGCACAAGTGGCGACGGCGTCTGTCGTTCTGCGTCCGTCGCGTTCCTTACCACGTGATGACAAGCGCAACTTGATCTCATATGTCACGAGGTACGCGCCGCACAGAGCAGACAGACTTCACGGCAAGCTCCTTGACAGCTTTTGCTGCACCGTTTGCAATAAAAAAGGCGCCGGGCCGCGCGTCTCGATGTGCAAAGCCCTTTGGTAATGTGAGCAGCTGCAATGACGAGGCCAAAAGTGGATAGCTAAACGTCGCTGGACGCGAGTGACTGCTCGTCTATGAAAAGGGGTACTGGCCGCAACATGCACCGAGACGGGCACAACGCACGAGACAGAGCTGACCTCTGCGCGGGGATACGCACACGAGCACCTGCTGAGGCGCCACATTGACTGCAGGCAAAACACGCGGCTCGAAGTAGCACGCGATCTGCTGTATGGTACGTATCCACTGACACCTTTTGCTTTGTAGGTCGGATCCGCCTGCGTCAAGCGAAAAGCGACGGGTTACGAACGGGTACACGACCGCAGCCCGTAACCTCGTGGGCTCTGTGTGACTTTCGTAACTCGACGCGGCGCTATCCTTTCAAATCCGATCACACACGCGCTCGCTCGCTCGCTCCCTGATACGCCCTCACTGCTCTCTCCTCAGCAGTAGAGACAGAGAGCGAGCGATGGTCGCGACCGAGTGCAGCAGCAGGCCCCGCGGTCGTCCATCGATCGAGGTTTTACTCCACCGCGCGAGGTTTTTCCAGTTGGTTGGTCTCAAGCAAGTGCATCGTCGCTGGACGACCCATTCGGACACATTGTGGACTGCTACTGCTACTTCGGCCACTGCTGCTGCAACTGCTTCGGCCACTGCTGCTGCAACTGCTTCGACCGACGCGTCTCTGCTGCAGCGCACATGACGGGCGACAAGAGCTCGCGGACGAAGAAAAAGGCGGCGCCCAAGACGTGCGTCACCGAGTGGCCGTCGACGAACCCGTCGTCCTGCTCGCGCTCGGTACCAGCGCAGACGTACGTGTGGTGTAGCGCAGCTTTTTGTTGCTCATGTCGTCCTTTTTGTCTGTCTCTGACGGCCCTTTGTACTGATTCACTGACTCTCTTTTTTCCTTTGCATGTGGACGTGTCAATGGCAGCAATGAGCGGCTGCAGCAGCTCGTGGCGCCGCATTTGGAGTCGTTCAACTTTTTCCTCACAGAGGGTCTGGACTTGGCGGTGGCCGACATGGGCAAAGTGCCCATTGAGCTGCCGAACCAGCACCGCATGGACCTCTGGATCGAGAACGCACAGGTGGGGTACCCTACGACCGAGAACCAGATCACGGGCGAGCAGAAGCTCTTGCCCAGTGAGTGCCGGCAGCGCGGGGTGTCGTACACGGCGCCGCTAGTTGTCACTTTGGCGCGCGCGTTCAGTGGCTCGCAGAACGTTGAGCGCATTCAGCGCGTCGTGGGGGAGATCCCCATTATGGTGCGCTCCAAACGCTGCCACCTGAACGGCATGACGCCGGCTCGACTTGTCAAGGCGCAGGAAGAAGCCAACGAGATGGGGGGATACTTTATATGCAACGGTAACGAGCGCTGCGTGCGTCTGTTGCAGATGCCGCGGCGTCACCATATCATGGCTGTCCGTCGTGGCGCTTTTGCCAATCGTGGAGACCTCTACACGGAGCTCGCGGTGTTTATGAAATGCGTAAAGCGCGACCAGACGGCTGTGACAGTCACTGTCCACTACTTGGAAGATGGTAATGCTACTGTGCGTTTTGGAGTGCGGAAGCAGGAGTTTATGATTCCAGTGGGCTTGGTGCTGAAAGCGCTCTATCCGCTGACAGACCGTGAAATTTACGAACGTGTGTTGCGGGGCGACCACGAGAACACGTACCTGTCTGCGCGTGTGGAACTGATTTTACGGGAAGCGAAGAAGTTTTCGTTGTACTCGCGTGATGAAGCGCTGGCGTATCTGGGTAAACACTTTCGGTTTGTGATGCCGTACGTGTACGACAACATGAGCAACGTGGAAATTGGCAGCAAGCTCCTTGACGAATTTCTGTTCGTACACATTCCAAAGGGTGAGAAGGGGCGCACGCAGAAGGTAGAGCTGCTGTGTCTTATGTTGCGAAAGCTGTATGCATTTGCAAAGGGAGATGTTCCAGAAGACAACTCGGATTCTGTCATGAACCACGAATTGCTGCTTCCTGGACACCTCTATCTGATGATTATGAAGGAGAAGCTGCAGGAGTCGCTTGTAGCGATACGTGCCAATATCTTGAAAGAGACGCTGAGCAAGAAGAAGAGTGTAGTGATGGATCAGGTGTTCTTGCGCAAAATGTGGGACCGCACCCCCAACATTGGTAATGCAATGACCTATTTTCTCAACACAGGCAACCTTCGCTCGACCAGCGGTCTCGATCTGCTGCAAATCGCAGGGTACACCATCGTCGCGGAGAAGTTGAATTACTACCGCTACTTCTCCCACTTCCGTTCCGTTCACCGTGGTCAATTTTTCACCGAAATGAAGACAACAGCCGTGCGCAAGTTGCTACCCGACTCGTGGGGTTTCTTATGCCCTGTACATACTCCCGATGGGTCACCTTGTGGTCTGCTGAACCATCTAGCTGTCGAGTGTCAACTCGTTTGTCACCCGGCGTTTCAGGCCGATGATTATTTGCAGCAAGAGGTGAAGCTTTGTCGCTTTTTGGCAAGTCTCGGTATGATTCCCACATCGGGTTATGCTGATGGCGCATTGATCGCTCCGTACTCGTACCTGCCCGTGATGATGAATGGTAAGGTATTGGGTGGTGCGCCCGCAGAGGTTTGCAAGCGGATTGCAGGCGTGTTGCGCAAGATTAAGTCAGCAGAGAGCTCGGAAGAGCGGGATGCTAACGGCATTGTACCAAATCTGGAAGTGTGCCTGATCCCGCCTACACGTGGTGGACCCTTCCCAGGGTTGTATCTGTCGGCCGATGCTGCGCGCATGTCGCGTCCAGTAGTGCAGATGGACACCAAGCGCATTGAGTATATCGGTCCAATGGAGCAAGTGTTTATGGACATTGCGTGTACGGATGATGACATTCGACCAGCCACGACACACAAGGAGATCAAGCCCACCAACATGCTTTCCCTTGTGGCGTCTTTGACGCCGTTCTCCGACTACAACCAGTCTCCTCGTAACATGTATCAATGTCAAATGGCGAAGCAGACCATGGGCACGCCTGCCCACTCGATTGTGCACCGTTCGGACAATAAGATGTACCGCATCCAGTCTCCTCAGATTCCCATTGTGCAAAATGAGCGTCTGCGTGACTACCAGCTCGATGAGTATCCGTTGGGCACGAATGCTGTTGTCGCCGTGATTTCGTACACTGGTTTTGATATGGAAGATGCTATGATTCTGAACAAATCCTCGTACGAGCGAGGATTCGCACACGCCTCTGTGTACAAACAGCTGGTTGTGGACATCGGCTCTAGTGGCAAGCAAGGCAGCACGACGTCGAAGAAGTACTTCTCGAACATTAAGCCTGATGGGGGCGGTGGATTTTGCTCCACGAAGTTGGATCGCGACGGGTTCCCGCACATCGGCCAAGTTGTGAACAACGGCGACCCTATTGTTAGCTGGATCGATGAGACCACGGGGCTACCTTCTTTCCAGAAGCACAAGGAGACCGAACCGGCAATCATCGATCAGGTAAATATGATCGGCAGCTCATCGCAGGCGTCTGAGTTCACGAAGGCTAGCATCAAGCTGCGTTTCTGCCGTAACCCGACGATTGGCGACAAGTTCTCATCACGTCACGGACAGAAGGGTGTGATGAGTATTCTGTGGCCCCAGGCCGACATGCCGTTTTCGGAGTCTGGTCTTTCCCCCGACATCATCATCAACCCGCACGCCTTTCCGTCGCGTATGACCATCGGTATGCTGATCGAGTCTATGGCTGCCAAGACGGGCGCTCTAAAGGGCAAGTATATGGACGCCACGCCATTCCAGTTCAGCGAGAAAGACCGCGTCATCGACTACTTTGGCGCGCAGTTGAAGGAGCACGGCTACAACTACATGGGCAGCGAGCCGCTGTACTCTGGCATTTCTGGCACGCTCATGCAGGCTGACATTTACATTGGCGTGGTGTACTACCAGCGTTTGCGTCACATGGTCAGCGACAAGAGCCAAGTGCGCGCCACGGGTCCGATGAACTCGCTCACGCGGCAGCCAGTAAAGGGTCGGAAGAAAGGTGGAGGCATTCGTTTTGGCGAGATGGAGCGCGATTCGATGCTTGCGCACGGTTGTGCGTTCCTCCTTCAAGACCGTCTGATGAACTGTTCCGACAAGCACATTGCTACTGTTTGCACGAAGTGTGGCAGTCTGCTGTCGAACGCAACCCAGCGCGCGACGGTCGAGACGGCTGGTCAGGGGGAGATTGCTGTCGCGATGAAGTCCAAGACTCAGTGGTACTGTATCGTTTGCCAAACGGGTGATGGCTGCCAGCCCGTCGCCATGCCTTACGTGTTTCGCTACCTGGCCAACGAGTTGGCCGCAATGAACATCAAGATGAATCTCACGTTGAGGAGTTGCTGACGGGTGCGTACGTTTGTGCGTGCTGAAGCCGTGAGATGTGCGTTACACGGCCGACCAAATAGATTCGTATTGACTGTCATGGAATGGACTTGCGCTCTCGTCATGGTATGCTTATCCCTCTTGTGTACCCATTTTCAGTAACGCCAGCATCGTTGCTATGCATCACTAGTGCCACCTGCTGCCCGTCGTCCCCAATGAACAGCCAATTCGTACCAGTACCTGTACACCTCGATTGGACGCCCGTGTAGCAGTGAAGATACTGAAACGACCCATTGGTGTCTTTCGACAACTGACTCCGAGCTGAAGCTTCATCATTTGCAACCATTTGCACCAATATCACCAGTCGCGATGACCAGTGGGACATGGCAGCAACATTCGGCTTGCGACTCGAGTGCGACCCTTGTTGTCACGTGAGCTACATACTGCGGGGTGGACGTCAGTCTCAGCTTCCTGTTGGACCATCGTGCAGTCACGCATGCTCATTGTCGCTAAGCAGAGCCGACTTACCGATATGAACACAAAGGCAGACGACGTGGTAATGGACGACTCGATGTCACTCGCTGACGCTGATTAAGCACGCAATCGGTAACGTGGTGTTTCTGCGATTGATGGTGCAAACGTTTTTGCTAACGGAGGCGTCACGTGTACGGCACGGAAGCTTCGCCCACCAAATAATAGCATGCTAGCGCCTTGAACGCGGCTGCGGACACCAGTCTGTGCAAACGACTAAGCAAAGCAACAGTCTCGATCGAGTCCGTGACATGACTACTTCATGTGCGCCAACAGTCATCATGGTACCACTCGCTAAAACTCCAAATGAACAAGTAACAGCAGTTTTCGACAATAGTCGGATATGTTTATGTTTCCAAGTGGTTTTCGTTCCGCTACCCCTCAAACGATACTGACATCGTCCTGCAAGTATGTTGGAGAAACAACGTCAAATGGACGATGCACATGTGATAGTGTAGACCAGCACCCAGTCTTCCTTGTTTCTGATGCGTTTCGATGCGGCCATTAGATGGCATGGTCATTCACGTGCAGGAAGCTAGCCATGGCCGCAGGACTGTCCTCTTCATTGCCCTGGTAGTCAACCGACACGACAAAGTCTGCAGGCTTCGAGCCATCCGGGAGCGGCACGCCCCAGTCACATTCGTGCTCAATGCCAAGGTTGTTGTGGTGCATCTGAATACGGAACCAGCCGTTCTCACCCCAATACGTTCCCCAAGAGTTGCGCCCGATCCCTGGACATGCAAACATATTAATTAGCAAGACAATCAGCTTACAAAACGCGCTTGCTACTTACAGTATTCCGTGCCCGTCTCCTCATCATAACCCCACCCGGCCACCGAAAGCTCGTGGTTGATGATAGGGAACATGACATGCTCGGAGTAGATGCCACCGGTATACGCCTCAAATTTCGTTGTGGCGTGCACTCCACAGCCGATGGGACCACGCTTGTAGATCTCCGCCTTCATGCGATCAACACCACTGACAGAACCATACTCGGAGACAAAGTACTTTGTGAAGTTCTTGACGGGCTCACATACGCCGGGAGAAAACGACTCCTTCGACGGCCAGCAGCTGCACCGGAAACAACATGCGACAATGAGCTGCTGATTCACGATGTAAATGCAAGTCAACAACTGAAGACTCACGTTTCACAAATAGCGAACTGGTCACACAGCTGGTTCGTCGCCTGGTAAGCTTGACACGTCTGGTCCGGAATACCGTGGCGGTGTGCATACTCATACACCATGCCAGGATTGCCGCCCTCACACGTCCCGCCAGCGTGGCAGTTGATCAGGACTTGGGGCGACAACGCAATTTCTGGCCAAGAAGCTGCATTCAAGAGACACGATTGATCGGTTAGTATACGGCTCACAATAGTGTCACTGTCCAGCATTTACTACTTCGTACCATTTCTCAGGATGGAGATGCGGTCCGACAGAGCGCTCGTCGTGCCCTGAGCCCAGCAGCTTCCGCAGTACTTTGGAAGATGCTGATTCTTGTCCCACGTCACGTAGTTCTTGCCATTGACATTGCGCCAGTCCCACGTCTTGGGAAGATCCTTGAGCTCCATTGTTTCATGAGGCAGCGGCGAAATCACCCGTTCGCCGCCGGGGAAATGCAGTTTCGTTCGACAGCCTGCTAGCTTCGACTCCACCGCCTCCTCCTGCAAAACGCCATTGTCTCTGCCCTCTTTTTCATCGTTCAAAACAGCCTGGTCTTCTTCCATACTCACAGCAGTGGGCCAGCCGTCATCTTTGGGCACGCCAAACGCACACTCGCCTTCCACGCCGAGATTGTTCACGCCCCGCACGAGCCGCATCCAGCCAGCTTCGCCCCAGAAGCTGCCCCAGCTATTGCGAAGGACCCAGAATGGCACGTCGTTCTCGCGTCCCCACCCGACAATCGAAACCGCGTGGTCCAAGTCCGTGGCGTTCGTCCTGTCGTGAAACAGACCGCCAGCGTACGCGAGGAACGCGTCCGGGACGGCAACGGTACAGGCGATGGGACCCCGGGCGTAGATCTCGGCCATCATCTGCGCTTCGCCGAGCGTCGTCCCGTACTCGGACACGTAGTACTTGTCGTACGTATGCTGTGGAAAGCAGCCCGTCGTGGGCATGCAGTTCTCGCACACGTCTGCGTTCGTGCACGTGTTGCCCGTGTCGTGCCCTGTCGCGGCGTACCGCTGACAGCCCTCTTCTGGCACGCCGTGCTGCTGGATGTAGCGGTAGGCTTCCAGTTGGTCACCGCCGTGGCAGCCGCTGTCCTTCAGGTCGCAGTTGAGGAGCACCTGTGGCGACAGCACAACTTCTCGATGCACTTCGACCGGCGACTTGTTCCGCGGGTAGCGGTCTTTGGCAATGTGAAGGCGGTCGGCGAGGGCAGACGTGGCCGCTAGAGTGGACACAAGAGTTGTTACAGGGCGTTGTTAGTACAAGAGCGAAAGAGGGGGAGAGAAGAGCGGGGGGGGGGGGGGAAGAGGGACGTACCAAAGGCCCAGCACGCGCCGCAGTAGTGCGGAACGTGCTGGTTGCGCGAGATCGTCACGTAGCGCGTGCCATTGACGTTGCGCCAGTCAAAGGCCGCGGGTAGATCGGACACGTCGAGGAGGTCGTGGGGCCGTGGGGACGTCAGCGACTCGGAGCGGTCGGGACTGCGCACGTAGCCGTAGCCGCCACTGCGCGTGCGGCCGGAAGATGGGAACGCTGCGGCTGTTGTTACTGCCGCCGCTACTGCTGCGAAGACAGCGAGAGACGTTGTTGACATGTGGGACCAAATCGGCGGAAACGTTTTCTTTGGCTCTTTTTTTGCGGTCTGTCAGTGGACGTGTGGCGTCTGCTCTTGACAGCAAATTGAAGGGTGAGTGAGTGAGTGAGTGAGAGAGTGAGGAACAGTTGACACACTTCAACGAGGGGCGGGGGATCGGGTGGGACGATCTTCTTGGATCGGGTTCAAGAGGGTTTCCCTTTTCGCTATCTTTTGCTTCTCGAGAGCTTTTCCATCGGCCGGTGTGGTACCTCCAAGTCGTCATGTTTCGCTATGAAGTAGCAGGAACGAGAGCGGCTTTGTTGTATAACCTGTCAGAGGTATGCGAGCAGCTCAAGCTTTACTCGCTCATTCGAGACACCAATCAAGAAGATGGACAAAAAGCCACCACTTGTTGACGCTAGTCGAACATGACAGTCTGCACAAGTGACAAAGTGCAATGCAAACGCGTACGCGAGCACTGACTAGCGACGCTGACAAGACGACATTTACATTCAATTGTACCAGTGTACCTGTCTTCCGCTCGGTTGTGTTTGTCGACCACAGAGCTTCCAATCCGCACTGGTCGTACGCGGTGGCGACATCAAAAAAAGGCTCCTGTAGCAATGTCCACTCTCCAATATCTGCTCACAAATGATCTTCGCTGGACGTGATGAGGGACTGCGGGAGATGGCCAGTTTCGTTCACTGCAATCACCTTAATCGGCTGATCGGCGCACACATCGATACGCGTGACGCCGCAGTGGTTGACTTCGAAATGTCCCCACGTGGTCGCAGGGTCGATGCCTAGCGCACGACACAGGAAGAATCGGATCAAGTTCGCGTGGCACACGAGGATGCAGTACGACTCCTCGTTGTTCTCTTCCTGCGCGCCACTCGAGTCAACGAAGAACCACTGGAACGCCTTTTCCATGCGCTCTACATCCACTCGAGTTCGCTGCATGACAACATACGCGCGTGCAGCAGTGGTCTCACTCACATCAAAAGCGGACGAATAAGGCTTGCCCGGCCATCCTTCCCGCAGCAACGAGCTCGGACTCAACGTGACCTCCTCAAAGTCAGTGGCAATGATAGCAGCAGTCTCCACAGCCCGTGTCATGTCACTATGGTAAATGGACACGTCGTGTCGGGTCGGATCCCGGTTGTGGACGGCCTTCAGATGTTTGCCGGTCAGCTCGGCCTGCTGCCTTCCCATTTGTGAAAGGACCTGCTGAGAGTCCGATGCTTGCGGCACATGAGCATTGATGTAATGACCATGACGTACAAGCACCAAGTGCTTGGTTTTTGGAGACGTCGTGTATATAAATTGCCCAAGAGGTAGCCGCGGCTGCTGTTGGCTCAGGCGCTCGTGTCGCTCCATCTCTGCAACCGATTCGCGCCTAGAGCTATCTCGGTCGGTGCAGTTCTCACCCACTTCGTGTGCAATAATCCTACTCAGCCACTCGACGTGCTCTGTCTTTGTTGACGTCATAAAGACGTACGATGAGGCTCGCCGCTCGGTGCCACTCTCACCTACGCCGTGCGGTCGACACCTCAGCTGGAACTTGCATTCACTGTCAAAGTGCTCATGCATCACCAAGTCCAGGGCGTCTGCATGGAGCTCCAGAGAACTACGGCTGTCCTTCGACACAATCTCAAGCACCAGCCCTAGTCTCTTCCGCACCAACAAACAGTGCATCTACAGCACACAACGCAGCAAAAACACAGCACAAACAGAGCAGCATCAGCACCACTACCTCTGTGTACAATCTCCAACTGCCAGCGCTGCTCACCAGACCGAGCGTCCGAAAGACTGGCGGGTTCGGTCGGACTTGGCCGCAGTCGACCTGCTCGGCGACAACGAGCTGCCCCTCCATGACCACTACATCCTCGTTGTCCCTCTGTCGATCGCGTAGCGGCACGTGCACAAGCGATCGCTTGTTGCTGCACCGCGTCGCGGTCAACCGATCGACGGACAGCGACGTCCCGTCGGTGGCTCCTGTCGCGCTCGCTGGTCGCTGCTTGCACTTGCTGGAGCGCTCTTCGGCCAGCAGCGACAGCTTCTGCTTGCGCGTGGGCTTCTTCTTCGTCTTCATAGAGCACCCGCGGCACTGACTGCTCGCGACGAAGAGGCGCTCGAGTTCCGAAGAGCTCCAGCAGCGCGACTTGGAATAATGCTCACGACTGATTCAATAATGAGCGTCGAGTGAAAAAAGCGAGTTTTTGACACCCGTGGTGATAAAGCGAGTTTCCAGACGCAGCTTTTTTTCTGCAAGGCAGGGTTTGCAAGGGAAAAAGGAGAAGACTGGCATACGTGATACAGTGCTTGCTCGAATTTACCCTATGCAGCGCGGGTGAGGGAGGTAGAAACTGGTTTTGAGCAGCAACATACATGTGTGCGAGGGGGCTTTGCGCACATTTGACACACGTCGCGACGAAAAGACCATCAGCAAACGATTCGTAGTGTGGCAAAAAGTCCCTCACGTCCTGCACGGGACACATCAACGACACAGTGCCCAGTCGTGCCTTTGTTTCGAGCAAAGATGTTGGCCGGAAAATCCCTCGAGAGCGGAAAATTTGGCTACCAGCTGCTGCTTGCGTGGGACGATCGCATGAGCGACGACGCGCTGTTGGAGGGACAGTGTGTATGTGGTCGCGATCGTCTTCGTGAGCTCGAAGAACGCGCACGCTCGGAGGCCAGATGTGTGTCCAGGCCACACCATCTGCTGCGAGATCATCGCACCCGCGCGAGAAATAGCCGGGGTCCCTGAATCCGAATGTTTCCAGCCGATATGCAGGGCGTAAAGAATGGGTCTTCTGGACACACGCTTGTTGCGAACAGGGTGAGGCTTTCCCTACTGTAGCATCAATGTAACGTGTGGAAAGTTCGTCGAGAGGGAGCTGCTGACTCCAATGCTTCAGCCACGGGGACAGAGGTGGTCCAGGGACTGGTGCAGAAAAGTCAATTTGTGCCTTCGGGCGAATCAACCAGATACCTCTCGTAGGAGATTGGACTCGAGGAGGTTAGTGGACGAGAACAAGTGCTCGTCGATCTGTACAAGTGTGAGACGCATTCAGCACCCGTAGCGACACGAGTGACGAGTAGTCTAGAAAGCCGAGTGCTGATTTTGACAATGATGCGCTTCCCTCATTAGTTTTCACCGCGATGATGTTCGTATTGTCTCGTGGACGAAGTAGGAGCTGTACAATCTGTACGAACGGTTCTCATGGGTGCACAGAACGACGACAGAAAGCAGTGACTGCCTCAACGGCTACGCTTATGGGGTCAACGCCTGAAGCAGAGCTTTGGCAACAGCTTGTATCCAACATCGGGTCGGCTCAACCAGACCACCACGTGGGTCAATGATCACATGGCGGCTCTACTGACCAAATCGCCAGATGGTGGGTGTAACGGGGCAGCCCGTTACATGGAATTGTTATTTTAAGGAAAGTGACAATAAAGAATATGAAGTTGAATATTCTTTGAACAATATCACCGAAGTGGTGATATTGAAGGGTCGACCAAAGAGTCTGTTCATTAGTTGATATCTTGATGATATCAACCCACCAATAGCCGCAAGACGCGCGCAATGAGTGGTGACGAGACGTCACCTTCCACTCAGTTATATTAGCATAATTAAGTTAAGTCAAACAGAGAGACGGTAGTTAAAAGACTTAATTATATTAATAAAAACAGTTCTGCTTTTACCTTTTCTACGCTTCCTCGTTTGCCTCGTATACGTCTGTCGGGGCACCGATACCCTTGCGCTAAGTTCACGCAAGGGTGTGCCCCGTTACACCTGGTAGCACTTTGTAGTCCTTCCAAGGACCACAACATCCAACATGAACATGTTGGATGATGAAGAGACCTTTCACGCCACGCGTGAAGGGTTTATCCATTTGAGTGACATCGAATGGGGTGCGGTAGAACGAATGAGTTCTACCGTAGGCGAACTCGCCGTCAGCGCCATGTTGGAGTCTCTAGACAGAGACCAACAACATGCCGCTATCGCCAAGTTCATTCAGAATGAACTTGCTCTCGAGAGGGAGAAAGTAGCCTTGCTTCACCAGCAAGGCTCTCAACAGGCCGAGCAGTTGAGAGAACTCGGTGCTCAGCAGACAGAGCTGTTGAGACAGCAGCAATTCCATGCTGCTGTGGGCGGGACGGCACATCCGCGTCGTCCCGAGGTCATGAAGGTCGACATCTCCAAGTACAGTGGAGTCCCGGAGGACTCCCTGTTACTGTGGTTTGTCGAACTCGACAGAGTCTTAAGGGCTCGTCGCGTCGAAGATGAGCAAATGAAACTCACATTTGCTCAGACCCACTTGGCAGGGCGTGCCAAAACTTGGTCCCTGGGGCTCGAGAGTAGCAACCCAAATGTGTTTAGGTCGCTAGATGACTTCAAGTCCCGGCTCAGACAAACGTTTGAGCCGCCACGGGCTGAGTTCAGGGCTCGTTCAGAGCTCCTGAAACTCAAGCAGGGTAAGCGTGATGTGCACGCTTACGCACAACATATACGACTCCTCGCGATTAGTATAACTGCTAACCCAGTTCATGAACACACGTTGATTACGGTGTTCATACAAGGGCTCGCAGAAGGGCCCGTCAGGAGCCACCTGTTCCGCCTTGAGCTGAATACGCTGGAAGATGCGATATCAGCCGCGGAACAGGAAGACTTTAGCATGAGACAGGCTCATGCTAGCTCAAACTCTTATCGTCTACCGAGACGACAAGAGATCGGATTTCCAGAACCAATGGACCTCTGCTATGTTGAGAGAGAGAGACCTCGCTCTTCAAACAACAAGCGATTGCAGAGGGTAATCGCTGTCAGAAGCTGGGGCACTACGCATACGAGTGTAGTGCTCCACGCCCAGTACCAAACAGTACTGAGCGAAATGGACGACCTTTTGCCAGAAAGGGCAATGGGCGTGGGTCCAGCGCTGTTGCGAAGCCGCAACAGCGAGACGGACCATCAAAAAATGGTCGGGGTCAGTAGGGGCGGAGCGCCCTACTGATCCAGCAACCTCAAGAGAATTCGCAAATCTTTTGACGAAAGTTGCTCCAGATACACAATCATTGTGTGTCTCTGCACCTGGTGATGACGTTTCGCTCATCACCTTGAAGTTGGAAGCGACAAATGATTTGTCACTTCGTGCCCTAGTAGACTGTGGGGCGTCGAACAACTTTGTTCGTCACCAGTCACTAGAGGGTCGTAGGCTCAAGTTCGTTGAGCGCGACATTCCCCTCACGAAGATGACGGTGCGCCTTGCCACAGGCGCATCGATTACCGTCGAGAAACGTGTAGTATAACTCCACTACACGTTAGAGAGCAAACAGTACGATGATGACTTCATCGTAATGGATCTGAATGACAAATTTGATGTAATCCTGGGATTACCTTGGCTCAGAAAGTACGATCCAAGGGTGATCTGGCAGCATCGATCCGTGAAGATGCCTGCCGCTTGTTCATCAGATGGCCATCTGATGAGCGTCATGGAGTGTCTACAAGCGTGTGGATGTACTGCGAGTGAGTGCGATGGCCTCACTTGCGGTACGGTCGTTAGCACGACTGCAAAAGATCACAGTGTAATTGATCGCTACACTGCGGAGCAAGCTCCCGGCGGCTGTACAGAAGTACAGGCTACGCCGAAGGTCCACCACTCGAATAAGTCGAGTGGACCGGGACATGGATGCATGCCTAGCGGGCAGCATCTTAGAAGTAAGAAACCTGTTGCCTCCAAAGGGCAACGTGGAAATCCTAGGTCGACTAGAGAGTCGACCGTAGAAGATCGGTCCCTGACTGTGGTTGCATAGCCACAGTCAGAAGACGTCGAGGGAATAACTCCCCACGTACTGGAGGAAGGAATTTCTCAAGAGTCAATTGCTGAGGGATCAGGCCCTCAGCAACCTGTGGAAGCAAGATCCCAGGAAGAAACCGAGACGCTGAACGTCTTGGTTGATGACGGATCAAGCGTAGGCGCTTATACGCTTGATCTGATTGTGCCTCCGAGGTTGACTTTGGAGATAACTCAGTTGCCAACGCTAGAACCGAAACGGTTCTTGCGTGATCTGCGTAGTGGCAAAGTCAAGCAGATCTGCATACTCGTCACGGAGGATGAGTATGTGGCCGATAATCGGTCGGCGACAGTATTTGCTGAGAACGAACGGGTTCTTAGCAGCTCATCGATGGACGAAAGTTCCCTCGATGAGAAGACTCGGATTGAGCGATACACGTCTCAATACTGGGAGTCACTTCAGGCAAATCCTTTGTATACGGATTTGATCGAATTCAAGGATGTATTCCCTGAATCCGTGCCTTGCGAGTTGCCTAAGAACAAAGGCACTCGACACGAGATCGAGATCAAACCGGGCTCGAAGTACGGTGTCATGAAGCAGTGGCCACTGCCTCTTGAACAAGTAATAGCGACCGACAAGTTCTTTGCCGATCGCTTAGCAGCGGGCCATGTGAGGGAATCAACATCCCCTCACAGCTCTCGGACCTACTGTGTGCGAAAGGCCACAGGAGGATGGCGGATAGTGCACGCGTTCAACAAGTTGAATGCTGCAATGGTACCGGCTCAGACGCCTATACCGAGGAAGGACGTTATCATCGATGGTATGTCAAAGAGTACCATATTTTCGTCCATGGATCTGATGGATGGGTACTATCAGATCCTCATGCGTGAACGGGACATCCCGTACACGGCAGTGAGCACCCCCAGCGGTATGCTGTGGGAGTGGCTAGTGATGCCACACGGTCTGAGTAATGCCCCTGCAACATTCAACAGATGTGTGAAAAATCTGTTGAGATCGGTGCAAGACTTCGCACCGAGTTACTTCGACGATGTGTTCGTCCAAATCCGGGCTATGGACGGAAAGACGGACGTTGAAGTTCACAGAACTCACGTTCGTCAGGTTCTTCAACTTACGCGCAAGCATAAGTTGTACGCCAACCTCAAGAAGTGTATATTCGCGGCTAGCGAAATACCACTTCTTGGGTGCATCGTGGCAAACACGGCGTACGCCCTGATCCCGAAAAGATCAAGGCGATCACCGACTGGCCAGTGCCAGTCGATGTCAAGGGACTAAGGAAGT